CTTCCTGGGCTTCTGGAGGAATGGGGGCATGGCTGACTGATGATCCCTCAGTACTGCAATGCTGGGGCCAGCATCTCTCACAGGGGAGCCCAGACATCAGTGGAGGGGCTGGGGGGCACTGAGAGGTGGAGGCTTTGTGGAAAAGAAGCTGATGCTTTCTCTGGTCGCTACCTTGCCTACTCAAAAGGCCCCAAAGGAGGACATGCTCTTCTTCTCCTCCTGTCCCCCAAGGCCTGGACCACAGGCTACGGCTGGGTCTCTAAGATTCAGTGCCTCTCCTCAAGCTTCTACTCCCAGACACCTCTTTTCATTCCTGCGGGATCCTGTCCACCTGCACATACCAGGAGCGCTCATTGCAGCGGTACTAGTACTAGTAACGGAAGTAATCCAAAGACAATGACAGAAGCAACACCATCGTCCAGAGCCTGCGTGCCTACCTAGCACCTTATGCCCATCACCTCTAACATCCTACACCCTGAAAGGGCAGTATTGTCATCTTTATCACATGAGCAGAGGAATATGAAGTCCAGAGGTTAACTCAGCCAGGGCCACCCAGTGAGTCAGCTGGATCAGCCTCTGCTCGGACACAGAGCCGCTCCAAGTGAGGGAACAGGGTGCGCTCACCTGTGCCACCTGCCCCAAGGCTGGCTGCTCTTTGCTCTGGACTTTTCCCTGTCTGTGGTCATAGGAAGAATCCAGGACTACTATGGGGCTGGGGGCTGCCAGGGCACGAGGAACATGGGGGTAGGGGCTGAGAACAGTCCAGCACTTCCCAGGTCAGCTGTCCTGGCCTCCCAGAGGGAAGGTCTGCTCAGAGCCGAGCATCTCAGCTTCCTCTCAGAGCTCTGGCTGGACACCTGCTCCATGGTGAAAGATGAGACTCCAGAGGCAGAGCCAGGCAGTGTCCGGGGAAGTGTCTGTCCTCACACACCACTCCTAGCAGCCAAGCCCTGTGGCAATTTTCCAGCGAAGCCCAGGCTGCAGAATCAAGGTGAAAACTGGCGCCCCAGTTCTGCTGGCGAAATTGTTCCTGTTTCTACCCAAGTCCAGAGACCCTTCTCTCTCCCCTAGAACCGAGAGAGACAACAAAACAACATGTTCTCCTGTGTACCATGATTTTACAGATTAGGAAACTGAAGATCATACCCCTTAGAAGGCAAAATGAAAGCGAAATCAAAACTCCCTTCCCCCAATCAATCAAAGGGCTCTGAGGAGTTAACCGGACTCACAGTGTCATGCTTCTCTTTCAGATACTCCCTCTTGTGCCATGAACCCACACCCCAAGACCTTTCCCAGCCCAAGTCAACTGCAGGCTCCTCAGTCTGAGGTCCAAGCCAGAAAGCAGGGCCTTTCCTTTAATTCTACAAATATTTATTGAGGGCCCAGTATGTGCCATGCGCTGTGCTACCTGTTGGGGTTACAAGTGCTCAAAAGACAAAGACCCATGCCCTAGAGGAGCTTGTACTCTAGCAAGGGGGAAAACGTAAACGAACAGTATACATAATCAATAAGTGAACTACATAATGTGGCTGGAGGTGATAAATACTATGGAAATACTGTCTTGTCAGGAAAGGGTGATCAGAAGAGCTGGGAGTACAGGTCACAGTGTTAAAGGTAAACCTCACTTGGAGGGAGACATGGAAACAAAGATTTTAATAAGGGCGGGGTCAGCCATGTGGATGCTGGGGAAGGGCATTCCGGGCAGAGGGGACAGCCGGTGCAAAAGCTCTAAGAGCATGCCTGGTGCTTGAGGAGGCCAGTGTGGCCGGGGCAGCATGTGAGAGAAGGTCCGAGTCACAGGGGCCAGACCACGTCGAGCCCACTGCAAAGCTAAAGCAAACTAGAACTCCTGCTGGCGGGTGGCAGGAGGGATGGTGGCATTAGAGCTGAGGCCGGGGTGTCTGAAGGGAGGTGACCGGTCACCTTCAAGAGACTGGGGGATCCGAAAACTAGAAAAAAAATAGATGTTGCCACTCAGCATGTATTGAGGCCTCTGTTTGGTCCCCAACCCGAAGATGTCCTGTCAGGGGCTCTGAGACTCAGCTGATCTAGAATGCCTGAAGAAAGTGTCCCTCGGGGAGACTTCTGTACAGCATTCCCTGTTGTATGAAACCAGGAAAATGCTATCAAGAGCTCGGCAAGAGAGCTCTCGCTGCCCTGAGTGCCACATCTGGCATGCTTGCCATTCTGCCTTCATAAAACCCTATGCCTGAGGCACTGCTTTCCAGAAAAGAGTCTTCACAGAAGGAACCTGTCCAATGCCGCTGAGTCAGTACAAAGGGCAGGAGTCGAAGCCAGGTCTCTGGCCACGGCCAGGGCTCGTCCCATGCACCACGGCTCTCCCGAGAGCAGCACCTGCCTCCTGGCCTGGGCCTGTGGGACTCTCTGTTCCTTTGCAGTTTGAAGATGCTGCTCTAGATCATTTCCCTGGTATCCGTGAACTTAATATCATTACCAACTTCAAGGTTGCCTCAAGGAGGTGAAGAGTTTGCAAAGTGCTCGCCCAGAAAGTGCTTGGCCCCACGCCTGGCAGGGAGGAAACCGTCAATAACGGCGGGGGCAGGAAAAGAAGCGGTCACTTCATTTACTTACTTAGGAATTAAAGAAAAAGCTGTAAAAGTGAATGAGTTCACAGAAATAAAGGACAGCCCACCCACTCTGCTTGGCCCACTTTATTTAATGTTCCGGTTGCATGGAGATTTGTTTCTTTTGCTGGATTATTTCTTTAGGATGGTTCCCTGGGGTAGGATTACTGGGCCAAGAGGTCAGAGCCCTTTTAGGGATCTTAGTAATTGTTGCCATATTGCTTTCCAGAAAAGATTCTCCCCATTTATCTTTACTCAATAGTGGTTACTAAATTCATACATTTCTTTTTTTACAATCTATTTTTCTTTACTAATTCAGTGGGTACATCATAATTTGTTTACCTTCCTTTGAAAGCCAAGTAAGAACATTTTGTAAATGCTTACTTTTTTTATTTTACCATTTACTTTTAAAATTTGCTTTAGTGTAAACTGTCCATCCAACTGCCTTTGCACATTTATAATTGGGTCTTCATCAACAAATATTAACTAATCCCTTACACTGTGTGAGGTGCCTGCGAACACCTGCTTTATACGGATTTTTTAAATGTCACAGCAGTGACATTTGTTATCACATCTAATTCCAATTTTTCTCCATTCTGATTTTCTATTGAATATTTTCATTTTATTGTTATACTTCAAGTTTTTAAAATTTAGTTAGATTTATGTCATGTTTTCTCTGTTATTTTTTTCTGTCAGAGGTTTTGAAGCTTAGAAAGTTACCACCCCAAGATCTAATCAATACTTAATTCTATTTAATCTTGTTATTTTACTTTTTTGATTTTTAAGTCTTTAATAACCTAGTGTTTCTGGATTAAAAAAATATTCTACCAAACACTTGTAGAATGTAATATGCAAAATGGAAAACTACCCCCAAACAAAATGCCCATTTTGAAGAGTTATAGGAAAACCCAGTTGGACAAAGTTAATGAAGCTTCCTTACTGGAGAACCCTCAGAGACTCAAACATGCCAATGAACCTCGTGGATGTCTAAGGTTTGCGACAACTGGCATGATTTGTATAAAACATCTCTCAAACTTTGTGACTATGGAACCCTTTGTTCACCTCTCTGAGCTAGTGTTCTGCTGCCACGCTTTGGGACATATCCCTTTAATCCGACTTCAAATCAAAAAATCAAAACCAAGCTCCATGAGAACAAAGACTTTTTTCTGTTTCATTCCCTGCTATATGCCCAGCACACTGCAGATGCTCAGTAACTATCAGCTGAGTAAACAAATGAGTGCATGTACAAATGAACAAAACAAATCAAATCTAGTACGCAACACTGAGCATACATACATGCCAAGATGCAGGGAGGGACAGGGACTTTGTGGTTCACTGCTGCATCCTTAGGACCTAGAATATGCCTAGAGCATGGTAGGCATTCAATAAATACTTGAATAGATCAATAAATAAAGGAATGAATCGCTTGCCTAACCTAGCTTCTGACTTCAGTCCCTAACACCATTCCCTTCATGAAAAGGGAAGAGTTTCTCACATGGATAAGAGTACAGACCCTTGGTCATTACCCCAGGCAGCTAGCTATGAAGGCAGCTTCAGATAATTGCAGCTGGGCTCAGAGGCCCAGAGCCCCAGAAATGTCCCTTTGGAGGAACGAGGGCCTTCGTGAAGTTCACAGATGAGTTTTCATACCAGTGTCCGAAGCCCACCCTGCCAGGGAGGCTGAGGATCAGACTTCCGGAGGCAAGTGGAATTCCACATCCTTCCCTTACGGAGAAGACAGCCTGGAGTTGAGCCAGGGCCTGCCATGGTGCTGTCCTCGAGTGGCCCTGTGAGCAGAGCCTTGTCACTCAAATCACTCAAGATCTTGTAGCCTAAGATCTTGAGTGACTTGAGTCTCTGGGGGTGGGACAGAATCACAAATGGTTCTCCATCTGGGTGAGCATACCTGCAATGTTCACTGCGACCTGAAACCAATGTCCGGTCCTTCCTCCTTACCTTTTACTCATCACTCCGCTGAACCAGCGTAAAACTTGCAAGAGCAACTTTGGTCATACAGGAACCTAAATGAGTATACGGTTCTTAAGTAAAGCTCTCCTACAGGTCCATGGCTTGCATGTATGGGGAGAATGGGTGAAAACAGCTGTTAAGACAGTCTATTCCTAACAACTGAGGTGGCACTGACCCTTACCAATTATGCAGCATCTAGAGCAGTAAAGTACCACGCGTTTTTAAGAAAGAGACCCCAAAGCCTGGCCCAGGAGCATTGGTGACTTTTTCCAAATATTACCCTCGGGTAATATTTCCTTTTAGAGTGACCAGCACAGCCCCAGAGAGTCCCATGTCACCATAAGTGCAAGCCCTGCCAGCAGTTTAGGGAAGTATGACCCCCCTAAACCAACCCCTGTGTTTCAAGTTTGGGCAGCTTCCATGGCAAAGAAGAGAGGAAACAATAAGCTTTATAAAGAACCATATTTATTTTCATTTACAGCATCAAATACCATAAATAAAGCTAAACATTGTTTGCTGTGTGCAAAATACAGGTTCCATGTGGCACTGTAAATGACTACCAAAGGTCATAAACATGCATTTCGATGACATGGGGGAGGCTAGCTAAAGAGGAGGCTGAGAGGGGAGGAGGGCACTCTTTGGTTGACATTCTAAAAAGGGAGGGAGACTCTGCAAGAGAAGATAAGACAAGAACGATGACTTCGTACTGGCTAGCATCTGTGCCGAGGCAGTGAGTGATGCAGCATGCAGGACAGTGCAGACAGGCCGAGAGGTCGGCATGGCTCTGGGCCACATGCAGGACAGACAGCACCTGCAACCTGAGACTGCGAGGCCTGGCTTACGATAGCTCCACCATACTTAACGTGGTGTTTCTCTTTAAAAGCACTTTGAATGTCCTGCTGCTCTACGTAATGAGTCAGCGGGGGACGTGTGTTTTGAGCAGAGCCATGAAACTGGCCGCTTCAGGCCTGGGGTTGAACTGAGTTGTTTCTCAAAGCCATCCCTGGCCCATGATGGTGATTGCTCTAGTTGAAGCTTCTTCATCTTCTGGGGCTTTATGAGCCAAGAGAGATAAGAAGAGCCATTGCAAAATCCTTGGATCTATCATGTAGGCTGCAGTAGAGAAAGAATTGCTAGGAAAGTTGGGATGATGTGTTTAAAATACAGAGCACGGGTCAAGCTGGTGATGAGGCTAGGGAGTATTTTTTTTAAAAATCCCTCCAAAAAATCATCACTCATGATTTTGATCAATGACGTTAATAATCTTTATATTAGAACCAATTCAAGAAGATGCTTGTACGCGTGTGCTTTTTCAGAGGCTGCTAGACAAAGGAGTTCTTTTCAAAGGCGACAGAGCCCACCCTATGGTACTGTCTTAGTCAGGGTTAACCCTCCCAGGAAGGTAAGCGGCTCCTGTCAGTGCAACTAGAAAAGCATGCGCGCAGGCCACAGGGAACGGAGGGCAGGCGGAGCATGCACCTGGCGTCGACGGGGCTGCCAGCTCAGGGGGCTCGGAAACAGCTTTCAAGCTGAACGCCACCCCACACTGTTCGCCGACAACCGCCACCGAATGAATCCATTAGTATGCAAGACACGCGCAGTTAGCACAACCGGTACCACGGACGGGTGCGGAAAGCGGCTTAGGGGTTAGTCCCACTCTCTGAAAATCGGCAAGAAAACCAGTCACCTCAGAGCAGAAGTGTGTCAGCCAAGGAGTGGGTGTAGCACTGGAAGGCTGAAATGAACTGACGGCCACAGTGTAAGGTTGGAAAGAGAGAGACAGAAAAGAGAATTTAGTTTGGAGGAAAAAAGAAAAACGATTGACAAGAGAAGACACGGGAGTTGAAAATAAGGCAACCATTAAAAAAATGGGGAAACTTCCCCAAACAAGTCACTGCTTGCTTAGGACAGATGAACCTTTCTGGTAGTGGACCAGCTACTTGGCCACAGAAGTGAGTATGTGTGGTCTGCACACGCCAACACTCTAAGGCTCTCCAGAGCTCCCTCGGGATCCCTCGCCATCCAATTTTCTCTCTGCCCCAATTTAACTCTAGTGTCTCATATTCACTCTAGAATATGTTGTGGAGGCCTGGAAGTCTCCACCCCCCTGGGATCCACAGGGTGCTTGGTGCTGCCCACCAGGAAGGTTCAAAGTCTCAGAACATACAGACATCTCAGGCTTCTGACAGGCACGCCCTGTCTCATCAGAGTAATTCAAAACAGTCTCTTTATGGCCATAAATGACATTCTCAGAAATTCTAACTCTGGCTTTTTATGGAGCATTCCACAGAGCATCTCGTCCTGCCCTGAGCTGATGGTAGTGAAAAATGACGTGGCTCTGCTTGTGCTCACATTGGGGAATTTACTTTTGGGAATCAAATATAAGATGAATCAAGGGCTAATCCCACTATGGTGAACATTAAAATCCCAGCGAAATTTTGGAAAAACACGATGCAAGTCATCGGACTGAGAACAGTTCCAATAAGGACAGAGGTGCCAGTTCCCATGGACTTGGCCACAGCCATGCCCTGTTTTACCCCAGGACTTCGGAGAATTGTTTGTGGAAATGCTTCCGCCCTTCTTTCCATCCTATAGAAACTTGTCACTTCAAAGCCCTCGAGAGCTCTGCTCCAAACCCACACCAGGTTCCGTCCTACTTAACCTAGAAGAGATCTCCAGAGTAACAAGTGCATGGAGCTGTCTCCAGCCCAGCAACTCTAGATACACTGAGCATGGCAGAAGGCCTTTTTCATATCAGCCTCTCCATTTTCAACCAGACCCAACAATGTGCATGTCCAGGCAGTGTGGAGTGGGCAGGGGGTAGGGGGCGGAGAGGGTGGAGAGTGGGCAGGGAGCTTAGGCCTTTTCCAGATGCCCAGAGTAAAGATTGCAGGTAGGCTCAATGCCTGTTTTTGTCCTTAATAGGGCATACTTATTTGCATCAGTCAATAAATAGCTTCCACTTCAGCCTCCTCTGCCAATCGAGACAAAGGGGAGATTCCTCCTAGAGGTCAGACACATTCCTTTGCTAGGACAGTGTGAAAATAAATGGTTTCTGACTGTTTTGACCAAATATGCATGGTGGCTGACTGGTTGAGCAGTCAGGAGGTCTGTGAGTAGCGCTCACTGGGTAGGCCACGCTTCCCATAAATACCACTCTGAGGTACTAACACACACCCTTAGTCCCAAAGGACCTGGTGTGAGAGAGCAAATTCATCCCTCAGCCTGACCATTATGGACCCTGAGTGGCCTTGGGTCAAACTGCAGCTGGGGCTGGGGACTGGATAGGGAGCCACCAGGTGACATAGCGCCTCTTCGGCAGGTATGGCATCAGCTTGACAGAGCTCTGCACGGTCAGGTGCCTATGGACTTTCGCTGCAGTGCTCATTAGCGGGAAGGGAAAACGCATGTTTGTAGGCATCTGCTCGAAACCCTGTGGTTCTATGTCCTTTGGCTATTATTTGGGGGGAAATTTAATCTATTATTTTACATCGAAACAAGGGAGCAAAATAGTCTTCCTCTGGGAGGAAATGTAACAGCCAACTACACACTGCCACATGCTTTTGTATGTTTTATTAGAGTGTCCTTCTACTCTTTCCTTATAAAATGATTATGCTTTTGTGCTACAAAAAAATTGCCCCCTCTTGACAAATGGCAGCCAGGTCTATAGATCGAAAGGCACTGGGTTATGTAAAAGCCCAAATCATTAATGTTGCAGGCACTGACTATTACAACTGGCGGCAGTCCGGGAGGGGTTTGTAACACCAGTTATAAATTTCAAACCCATGTATAGAAAATCTGACACACATAGTAAAAAATGCTTTCTCTTGGGTTATTAAAAGTTAAAAATTGAAATGTAAACCTAGAAACACGGCTCACTTTGGTGTAAAAGAAGTACAAATCTATATAAAAAAAAATCCTTCATATCGTGCTGGCCCTAGCACAGTGAGCAGGTGTTCACCTTGCAAGGCCAGCACAGGTGGCCAACGTGAAACTCTTTGGCTTGTGGGTTAAGGTACACTGGGCTTACTGGCCAGGGCCTTAGCTAACTACAAACACACCGCCATCTACACTGGAAATGTGAGGGCCCTAGGGGCGGCCGCCCTTCAGTGGAGCTTGATCGGCAAGTACCTGAGCACCCAGTCGCGGATGCTCTCGAGGGACTCCTGGGACTCCAGGTACATGGAAGCCAGAACCTCGGAGAACACCCACAAGAGGGGCAGCCCAAGGCTCAGGAGCTCGTATGTGTAGCAGTAGTTGTGAGCATTGTCCCTGAAATGCAGGCCGGCTGCGCGCAGGAGTCCCCGAATCCAGTTAAGCAGGTTCCGGGGAACGTGAAGCAGGCCCCACGGCAGCCTGAGCGGCCAGCTTAGCGCCTTCCTAAAGGAGGAAGTGGTGATACCTGGGGGGCTGCCTGCGGGCGGGCCAATGACAGCAGCTGCGAAAGAGCTTTCCGTGGGCGGGTCCCGCTGCAGAGGGGCTTCCTGCTCCTTCCACATTCTCTCCTCCTGAGAAAGATCAAAGGGAGAGGATTTAGTTTATGAGTCTCACGGAGGACCCCTTGTAGAGCAGACAAAGAGAGCCAATAAAAATAGAGCTTGGCAGACCCATCCCCCCCCCCCAATAATCGCAGCACCCCCTTAACCACTGAAGAGGAAAGTGAGTATGCACAGGGAGGCAGGCAAATTCACCAGCCTTCAAAACACATGTCCTTTGACTCAGGGGTGCAATCCCATTTCTAATGACATATTCCCATTTCTAATGACATGTTCTAAGCGAATAATTTGAAATATGGATAAGGATGTGGGTACAAGGATGTTCACAGTAAAAATATAAGGCAAAATATTAAGCAATCTATAGGTCCAACATGAGACTTGTTAAATTATCGATCATTTTTTATAGGCATCAAAAATGATGCCCCCAAAGAATTTTTAATGTCATGGGAAACTGTTCTTGATACAGCGTTAGTGGGGACAAAAAGGAATATGAAGTTGCAGCGATAGGATTGCAATTAGATTCAAATATATTCGCACACAGGAAGAAGTCTGGAAGGAAGTGTTACAAAATTAATCATGGTTTACTCAGAATAGAGTGATGACGGGCAATTTAACTTTCTTTCTTTATATACTTTCATTTATTTACCCACTTTTCTACATTAAGCTTATATTAATGTGTAATCAGAAAAAAGCTGTAAGTCGTGGGTCTTTGCTGGCAGTGGTGATTAATCAAGCTGTAGAAGCTAAGAGCTGCCAGAGGAGGCGCTGTAACAAGTTGTCCATACTTTCAGCAGGCTGGATGACATCCAAGAATCTGGGGAAAAGACTTAGAAACCACAGCAAAGGTTGGGCCCAATACCAAGCACCCCTGAAAATGTCACCCTGTGGTTACAAAGGAGGCAGAGCGGGAGAAGGCATGACACGGGGACCAGGGGGGACGACCGGTAACTTCTGCATGGCTAAGCATATCGTCCCATCCCTGGCACATGGGAAAGCTCTATTGTGCTTCTCATGAGAGGCCAGCACAACTACTCACCTGGGAGCCAGCATCTGGTGGGACATACCCCAGAAGAGAGCTGGACAGAGGCAAAGGGACCCTTCACACCAGGGAGTATAGCCCTCCTCTTCATCTGTGGATCTCAGTCCCTCCAGGGCCAGAAATGGTGGCCTAACGTAGAGGAGCCTTTGAAAACCTTCTATCTAGGGGCCTTCCGTTTCACCGACCCTTTCAAGACAAAACGTACCTCCCTTTGTTGCTTCAACTCCGCCCGTCTCTTTCGTTGCTGAGTATTGGTTTTACAGTGAATGAAATGAGGCTTGCAGAAAAACTTGCCTGTAAAAAGAAACACACACTCACAAAGGTTTTTCTCCTGTAAGCCAGAGCCATAGCATTCATAGCCAAATGCCCACCATTGTTTAGGTCAGAAAATGCCAATAATGGAACAAGCCCAGGACAGCTCACACTTGGGAAAGTTTCTGTCATCTGCCTTAAAGAAATGTCACTGAGATGAGATGCAAGACCCTTTGCTATCTCAGAGGGAAGCTGCAGCAACGGGGGCTCCCATGGATGGGGTTGAAACTCTTAGATAATCCCCGAACCAGAGCGAGCCCGTCTCTTCCCAAGGCCAGTTGCCAGTCAGCAAAACGGACAGCTCTGAGCAGCGACATCATTTCTAGCTCCTCCTTCTTTCTGGGACCCCTGGGGCTGGGAAAGGCTCAGAACAGATGGCAGCAGTGATGGGGACGAAAAACCCAGGAGAGACACACACTGGGCCACTGGTCACTGCCCGGGACAACCAGGAACCTTACAGAAAAGTCTTCTTTATTCAAAGTTACGACAGTTTAAAGTGATGAGAATAACAATAACAACAGGAAAAACTTAGGTAGGAAGCAATATATCAGGTACTATTCTAAATGCTCCCTGTAAGTTAACTTATCCACTCACACAATCACCTTATGAGCCAAGTACTATGATCCTCATTTATGGATGAGGAAATTGAGGGACAAGGAGGTTAGGGAACAAGCCCTATGGCTAGTAAATGATACAGTCTGGATTTGAACCTGGCAGTTTAGTTTGAGGGTATAAAATCATAAGCACTGGGCTATACTGCCTCTCATTGTATTGGGCAGTGCAAATATCAAGTGCTGAAAATTAGACAGACAATAATCACTCAATTCAATGAGTGCAATTCCCTCATCGATGACCTCTGATAGGCCACTTATCAGAACAGATGTTACTATTATGGTTATTTTTATAATACAGACTTTATGAATAATAACACTTATAAACCATCATTTATTCAACCCTTATCGCATGAGCAGTATGATGCTGAGCGTGTGTTTCTCAACTACTCAGGGGCAATGGAAGGCGGTGTGACTGAGTGAGAAAATGTACGCAAAGCTCTTGGCACATAGTAGGTGCTCTCCCCTGCCATACACGCAGCACAGGCAGCTTCCTCTTCCTCCCGGGCAGCCCCTCTCTGTCGAGGAGTTGCCAGCTCCCTGAATAGCTTTCCTGATGTCGCTGTCCTCTCTGAGAAGTGTTGGGCATCCCGGAGCCTCCAGAGGGACAGGAGCCCGGGCCAGAGAACAGTGCTGTGCCTGGGGGAAGAGAGTTACCTTCATCGCCATCGAAGGCGTAGGCGGCCAGGCGCAAGGTGGTGGCACAGACGCTGCAGCGGAAACACTCTCGATGGAAGAAGTGGCCCTCGGCGCTCAGCCGCTCCATCACATACACGCGCTTCTTACAGAAGTAACAGGTGTCACTGCCGCCCAGGTTCAGGGGAAACACCTTTCGAATAGTTTCCTGGGGGGCACAGGGCATCGGGAGAGAAGAGCAGTGTTAGGGCTTATGCCAAGTCTTCAAGTGCGAGCCCTAGGCTTTTAGAAATTCTGACCTGAATCATGGGGGACCTTGCAGGTTCCTGTTTGGGGCTCAAGTTACTTCAGGCACTTCAGCAAAGAGTGAGCATGGGAAGATGCACTCCCAACACAGACCCCAGAAGTGCAGGTACAGCTGTTAGCTGTGCACCCAGGTGGGCAGGCTGGCCACCAGGTGGGCATGGAGGGAGCTGTCCCCTAGGCTGGCTGCTCTGGTTTGGGGGTAGGAGTGATATCTCCTGGTCTAATGGAGTGGGCATCCATCACAAACATGCCTGCCCGGCAATACTGTCTCCAAAACTCTGTCCCTGGGGTTAAGTATTGCCTGAGTCTGGAGTGAAGTCACTGAAAGAATGTTTTAAACATCCTTGTCCAGCTGCAGTAACTTAGGTCAGGCAAGGACAGGTGGTGGCATCAAAATTGTTCAAGAGAAAAGGGAGAGGCTGTGTCCTGCAGATCACCAAGTGGCCGAATTCCTAAATGCATGGAGTGGGGAGTGGGGGCGGGCCAGGGCAGGGGTGTACCTGGGTGATTCTGGGGTATGTGCCAAAGGGAAACCAAAGGAATTGTCAACTCACATCGCTGGTGACGGCAGTGAGTGGCCTTGCTTGGAGAAGGGGGGAATTTAAAGGAAAGGATTGTTTTTCCATTACTGAATTCTCAATTCAGTGCAAAACGGCTACTTATTTTGGACACTAAACATTGACAGTCAGGGATGTCCGACTATGCGGACGGCCTCGCCTGGCCTTTTCACCGAGTTCTCCAGAGTCTCAGACAGCAGGGAGAATGATGTGCCTTGTGAAACGACCCCCAAGAAAGCTGAGTGAGGTTTGCCTCCCCCTCACTCTACTCTGATCCAGCCCATTCTCAGCCTGTCATGTCCAGGAGAAAGGGCGCCTTGGGAGGGCCAGAGCCAGTGTCTGTGGGCAAAGGCTGAGGGGTGAGTGCCTTACCAGGTCTGGCGAGGTGGCCTGGGCCTTAGGTCTGTGATCATTCATGTACAGATTGACCAGGACTTCAGCGGCAGCCCCTATCCCACTGGACTTTCCCTA